CAGGCCTGGTCCCATGTGGGGTCGTGACCCCTACCTGAGTGATCTCTAAGGCTTTAGGCTCTCTCGGGGATGCTGGCCTTTGTCCTGGAGGAGAGAGAACGACCTAGGACCTGCCCGCCCTGCCCTTTCTACCTAGACCCCAGCTGGGGAAGGGCACATTCCTTTAGCAACTTCCAAACTAACGCAGAGCAAAGTGCCATGGAGGAGACCCACCCCCAGCCCACTGCCCCCGGCCTTGCAGCCAGAGCCAGTAACTCACAGCTGTGGTTACCCTCTCGCTGATTTCTGTTTTAAAAAATACTGCTGGATAAACAGTGAGGGAAACCCGAGCTGTTCCCACACCACATAAATCCCCAGTTTGCTGTCCTATCTGGTTAGCTGGTTTCCCCCCCGAAATAATGGCACTGCTGCCTCGCAAGCAAGGGTGGTAAAAGTGCACCCCCTGAAAGTGAGGGGCCAGGAGTCTCCCAAGCCGGCTCCCGGGTGGCACTGGTGGCCACCCTGCTCCTCTCTTTCAGCACTTCCTGCCCAGGGGCCCTCACCTTTGTCCTCACTCTCCCCACCTGGACACCCTTCCCCTCCTTCCTGCTTTGTCTCTCAAAAGGCCTCCACGGGAGACCTTTCTGGGGCTCCTCCTGCAAACCTACCCAACTACCACTCCTCCCCCTGAAATGCCTCCTTTGGACACGCCTTCCAGGGTCTTCTGTCAAAGTGCAGGTACCCTGGCTCGGAAGGTAAGGCCCGAGCCTTCTTCCATCTTGAAGACGACTTTTGCCTTGGGTTAGGATTTCCGGATTTGGGGAGGGGGAGAGGAGGAAGAGGAGGAGGAAGGACACCCAATTAAATGTAAATTTCTGATAAACAACAAAGGACGTTTCAGTGGGTCCCAACTACCGCACGGAGCATACTCAACCTGGACTTCCGGTGCTTTCTCTGGCCAGCCTGCCTCCACCAGGCGCAGAAGCCCTGGAAATCAAACATTTACTGATCCCCTTCTGGGCGCCTGTGCGTCGTCTGTACAGCAAGCCTCTGCTTTTCCGTTGAGGAAACCAAGGTCAGGTGACTTCGAAAAGCCAAGGTTCCAACGCAGGCCCCTCCGTGTATTGTGCTTTCAAGGCATCTGCCCACGATCTTGGCAGCAGGCACATGATGGCCGGCACCGAAGGTTAAGTTGTGTATCTGTGAGAGAAGACTGTCTCTGAGACAGTCTGAGGGAGCTGTCTCTATCCACTCAGCACTTCCAGGGATGTTGTAGTGAAAGACCCCATGGTTGGTTCCCTGGGGTGGAATGTCTGCTCCCACCTTGCACGCCCGCGGGGGCGGCCACAAGGACTGTATTCTGCGGTCCCCTCAACTCCGTCCTGTTCATCTTGTTATTTGAGCCTCACATGGTCCTGGAGGGCAGGAGCGGCCCTGCCTCTTCGAGCCTTCTGAGAAGCAAAGGACATGCCCATTCCAAAGGAAGGCCAGGCCCGCAGTGCAGATCCCAATCCCGTGAGGTTCCCACCGTACTGAAAGCGTGCCAGTCCTCCTGCCCCACCCCCGAGGTCTCGCTCCCGAAAGGTGTCTTGTCTGCTTCGCACGTTCAGCCTTCTGAGTGAGCGCTAATCATTTCATCTCGTCCCTCTTGGGTGGCACATAAATATTCCACAGGCCTTCTGGAGTGGCCCTCAAGATGAAAACCTCAGGTATTTTCGGCATCATCTAGCTAGTATCATAAAAACTACACTCCAGCCTCGCCTCACTCACTTCTCTCAGCCACTGAATGGGGGAAGAAGAAAGAGTTCATCCCCAATTTATAGATGAGAAAACTGAGGCTCAAGTGATAAAGCGAGTTGCTGAAAGCCATGAAGCTTATTAACGGCAGAGCTGGGGTTTGAACCCATGCTCTCCTGGTTCCCGAGGCTGTGACCTTGACCTTCTCTTATATGGCCATAGGAGAAGGTATTTGGGGACTAAGATGAGCCACCTTCATCCTCCACTGGGACGTGCCATGCCCTGGGGGCCAGCAGAGGACGGAAAGAGAATTGCCCATGTGCGTCACCCTCTGCAGTCAGCCAAGTCTTTTCACGGATGTCCCACAGAACAGCCACCTGCCAGCAAGAAAACTGCGGCTCAGGATTGGCCTGAGACCACGCAGCTGACGAAAGGCAAGGCCCTGTCTTCAACCCGAGTCTTCTGCCTGCAGCCCAGGTCCCACCTCCGACGCCCTGCAGCTCCAGGCACAGGTCGGTGGGGTCCAGGGCTCGGAGAACACTCCGGCTGCGGCCGTGCACAATGGGGGAAATTCCAAGCTGTTTGGGATGAGGCCGGGTGGCCAAGTCGACTGCCCACTCAGGGCCCCTCCTCCCAACTCACGCTTTTCCTCTTCCTCCCTGTCACCCCCAGCGACAACCAGAAACAGGGTCCCCTCCCTTCCTGAAAGCCCCACTCGCCTTGGCCTCCTGGCCTCCGGCCTTTTTTCCACAAAGAGCCACTTCTCTCCATCTCTGTCTCTCAGGCCTGCGGGGGTCTTGACAGGGAAATGCTGACTTTGAGGAGGTTAAAGGTGCCGGTGCCCGGCCTTCATCTAACAGACGGGCTGCGGAGAGGGGAGGAACCAGTGTTGTTTTTTCCTGGCCTCAGAAGAGGGGCCGGTCAGGAAGATGTAGAGGCCAGTGGGCCCCCGGCCGCGCCCCGCAGGGTGGCTGACAGACGCTAGCAGCTGCTCGGGGTGGGGAGGGGGTGCCGGGTGCCAGGGCCCTGCACAGAGCACCCCTGCCGGGAACCCTCCCCCCTGCCCCTCCTGACCTCTCCGCCCACCCCGCCGTGACCCGGGGCCTACCCCTTCCAGGGGCAAAGGGCCAGGCTGCGGGGCCTCACTGGGCCCGAGGAGGAGGCCAGAGCAGGAATCTGGTTACAGCCGGCCGGGCGAGGCCTCAGGAGGGTTTGTTTTCCTAGGACCTTCCAGCCTCGTATGGACTCTTTCTAGAGCCCCATAGCCCGGAGCCCCGAGGGACCTTATCAGGCTGTTTCCATAGAATCTCTAAAGGGCTCTCCAGCCCCACAGTCTCCCCTCAGATCGTCAAGTTAAGGAGAGTGAGACAGGCTAAGCGGGGAGCCCCATTTATTTGTTATCTACTTGGCCATTTACATAAATGACTGGTTTAAAGTTCTCAAGTGTCTGTGGGGTAGGCATTCTGATGCAGCGGGGCCAGGCTGCCCGGGTTTGAATCCTGGGTCCTCCGCTACCCAGCTGTGTGATCCCGCGCAGGTTACACAGTCTCTCTGTGCTTCAGAGTCCTTCTGAAAAACGGAGATGATGTGTAAAGCACGGGGCTCAGAAGGCGTTTGTGGGGATTCAGGGGGGAGCACTGGGAGGTGTGAAGACCAGTGGATGGACGTCAGCCGTCATCAGTGGGTGGACGGACCGTCACCCCAGCCGAGGAACCAGAAGCTCAGAGAGGTAAAGCGCCTTGTCCCAGGGCACACAGTAAGCAGGTGGCAGACCCAGCATTTGAACTCACACCTGTTTAAGCCCAAAGTCCAGGCACTGAGCTGCTCCACACACCTGGGGGCAACGCCCGGTTCTGCCACTTCCCAGCTGTGTGCTGTGCAGCATCTCACACTACCTACCTGAGCCCCCTTTTCCTCCTTTGTAAAATGTGACCATAGTTCCCCCTTTACCCATAATAGGAGGGTGGAGAGGTGCAGAGGAGAAACCTGTGTGCAACGGCTACATCCTGGACAAAGTAGAGAAATGAGCCTGCTTTACGGCCATGACCCCGTCTCCTCCTGTGGCCGACCATGCCCTGGCTGCCCACTGCCAAAGGCGAAATGCCTGTTTCATGAAAAGCGTGTGTAGCCCCCAGGCTACAGAATTGAGACTCCTGCCCTCTTTTGGAAGCAGCCAGCAAAGACACCACTATTATAGTCCACACCCATTTCAGCCCCGACCCTGCTGCTCTGGGCCGTGGAAATACCTCGTGGGAGAGGAGCTCTGGTCGTGGTCTGGGAATGCCATCCTTCGAGAAATTGCATTAACCCTCCACAGAGACCAGCAGGCCACGGGGATGTCTGACCGGGTGAAATGGCAATGGGCCCTCCTTCGGTTGGCACCTGCCAGGACGCCCATGTGACCATTTGCCAGAGAGAACTCCTTTGGGAATGAAACTCCCCCTGAGTCCTATTTTCGTGCCCCGGACCTCACGGAAGGCTTGGTGTCTGGGGAGGGAGAGGGGGAAGCAGGTGGGTGAAGGTTAGGGGGCCAGGGAGCAGGTGGGGGCGGCCTGGAGACCCTTCAAGGAGCTCATCTAAGTAAGAGCTTCTCCTTTGCCACGGAGAAAAATGCCTTGAACCCCCCCTGCAGAAGAGCGTAGCTAATTGGCATGAAGTTGGGGGTTAAGGAACGGAAGGAAAAATCTGATTGTTTGTTTTTTTTTTAAGTTACTGAGAAAGTAAGAATGTCACTTTGGGCAGAGAGAAATAATTCTTTTTCTGGACTATGTCTTTCTGTATACCACAGACCCTAGTGGGCCACTGAGACTTGCAAAAAAAAAAAAGATTTCTTTTAATCCACCTTCCTTTTCGCAAGCAGCAGCAGAAGGGCCTTTAAATCAAATGCAATCAGCAAACTTGTCTCTTGCACTTATCCCCGGCTTCACTCCCTGGAATTTGGCACTTGATGGATTCTGGATCTGACTTAAGGCTTTTTCCAAATCCAAGACTTGGGGAATTTTGTTAACAGTGCAATAAAGTAACTTCATAGTGTTACAGGAGGCACATTAAAGAAGTTGTATGTGTGAGCTGCTCTCTCTCCTTAAAAAAAAAAAATACAGACAATGTTTCTTTAAAAGTCTCCATCTGCAAATCCCATTAGATGTGCATATAAGGTTTCTGATGATTAATAGTTGCCTGCTCGGGTTTTGGTTGGAGGGGTTGGTGTGGGTGCGGGTTAACCCCTCCCTCTCCTCTCTCACATTTCACTTCAGAGATGTGTCACTCTCTCCCCACCGCAGCATTTAAAAGTGTGTCTCCGCAGCCCCGGTCCAGCCCTCGGCCGGCGTTTGCTGCGGGCTCCAGGACGGGCACTCCAGCAGCCGGTGCGTCTGGGCTGGGACAGCGAACATGTTCAGTGTCATCGGCGACATATACACACACGAGGGACCCCAGTAGGCAGGCTGACGTGTCGGGGAGCAGGAAGCCAGAAGTGAAGTGAAGTCGGACATAAGTGTGCGCACACACATACGTGTAGCCGGCTGCACGTGTGTGAACTTGAAAAAGAGACTTTAGTTTTGGTTTTTGTTTTGGTTCCTGGGGTGAACTTTCTATTGAACATTTTTCCCTCTTATTTAATTTTTTTTTTTTGCATTTTAAAAGAATTGAATATAAACAGTGTGTGAATCAAACTTTTGAAAGACTGAGGTGTGCAGCGGACGGCAGATGGATCCCGTGGCCAGCAGCTGCATGAGGAGCCCCCACCCCCCAGCCCCGGTCTGGGGCTGCCTCCGAAATCCCCACTCGGAAGGCAGTGGGGCCTCGGGGCTGCCCCACTACCCGCCAACCCCATTCTCCTTCCACCAGAAACCAGACTTCCCGGTGGCAGCGGCAGCAGCGTACCCCGACTTCTCGGCCTCCTGCCTGGCGGCCACCCCACACAGCCTGCCCCAGGAGGAGCGGGTCTTCACTGAGCAGCACCCCGCCTTTCCACAGCCCCCCGACTGGCACTTCCCTGTCTCGGAGGCCCGGCGCAGACTCGACCCGGGCCCAACCGGGGGCTCCAGGGAGATGGGGGCCAGCAGCCCAGGCCTGGTGGACACCACGAGAGGCCCAGGAGAGGACTACGAGGTCCCTGGGAGCACTGCCAACGAGACGGAGAAGAAGTCGACCAGACGGAAAAAGGAGAGTTCAGGTAGGTGGCTGGAGAGCAGCTGACCATTCTTTTACTGTGTGACCTTAGGGAGGTTTCTTGCCTTCTCTGAGCCTAACTGCCCTGAACTGCAAACAGTACTATCTAACCTATTCAAATGTAGGAGTTACCTTTGGGGTTTCTTTTACTCGGAGTTCTAGGATTCCCTGGTGATGGGTCTATGTGTCCCCAGCCCTCCTGGGCCCCAGGAAGGGTGTGCCAGCAAGAGAATGAAACAGGATCCACAAAGATTTGTGGGAAGGAGCCCAGTGTAGGCAGGCAAGGGCTGGAGAGGCGCTTCCCTGAACCCAGGCTGCCTCTGGGCCATGCATCTCCCCACCACCACCCTGGCCAGCTCCGAATGGTCCCAGAGCCACAGGGTTTGCTCACTGTGGGAATCGGCTGAGAAAGAAGTTCAGAGGGCAGCCACTAAGGCTAGACGCCGGGGTGGTCAAGCAGGGTCGGGAGTCTAGAGGCAGAGAGCAGGACGAGGGCTGGGACGGGAGGGGCAAGGAAGGAGGGGGAGTGCTGACGTGCGGAGCAGGCAGCCCCTCAGGTATCACCCTGCCTCGCTGGACTGTGCCTAGGCCAGAGAGGGCAGCTCAGCATGCTGAGGTCTGGGTGACCCCCAGAGAAGGCTCTCCAGGGGGATCCCCGGCCTTGGGGGAGAATCAGGGAGGCAGGCAGGTAGCCAAGGGCAAGCACTGGACCTCAGAATGCAGGTAAAGCTCAGCTCGGTGCCCAAGTCCCGGAGGCCAGAGGATGAAGCCGGCCCTCTTGTTAAGACCCCAGCTAAATCCTATCTCCCCCCTGTGGTAGGGACCTGTCATTTCCTCATCGCCAACTCGGCCCTCCCCAGCTTCTCTCGCTGCCTGTTTCCCTATTGTCTGCTTCCCTGGCCCCCCCTCGGCCAAGCCCCCTGCCCTCACTGCCCGCTCTGTCCTCCTGACAGCCACCCAGGGGGGCAACGTCTCTCTGACTGACCTCTAGAGGACCTTCTCACGGGGCTAAGCAGGGGCAGGCAGAAAATCAGCGTGCTAACCAGCCAGGGACTGCATTCTGTGCTTTGCTTCTCAAAGCACCTCCAGTGTAGCGCAGGTTTCCCCAGCATCTTCTTCTTGCCAGGCCCTACTAGCCAAGGCCCTGGGGTGCGGAGATGAGCAAGGTGGCCTCAACCCACCCCCACTCCGGCCCCTGCAAAGAGCGCAGACCGAGAGGGAGGAGAGAGCCGCTGACGCCTGCCTAACAGCAGGCGTGCCGTGGGGACGTTCACGGGGCGGTAGGCAACACGCGTCAGCTCCTTTGAGTTTCGCCGGTTTGTGCTGTAAGTCCAGCAGGTCTTATCAGCGGGTTCTGTACGTGTGGGAAAGCAGAGGTGCAGTTTGAGGGAGTCACTGCTAGAAGGGACTCCAGACAGAGTGATCCCCTCATCTCGATTCGCCCAGGACTTCTCTGATTTGGGCATGGAAAGTCCAGCGTCCCTGGAACCCCCTCAGCCCTGGCCAAACTGGGACAGTTGGTCACCCTAGAAATAAGCTCAAACCCCCAAATGTCAGACCCCAAACCCTACACCCTTCAGTAGCTTTCAAGCACAATCCTCCTTTTGAAATAGGAGGATTCTGAAACATGCTTGAAGTAGTCCCTCCACGGGCTCACAACGGATGATAATGACCACAGCCCTCCCGGCTGCTCAACAGGAAGGGCCCTTTAAATTTCCAACCCCTTAAATCCTGAACTATTCCTAGCCCTGGCTGGAGATTTGCCGAGAAAGGGGCACTCCGTGCTCCTCCTCTCCAAGGAGCTCTCAGTGACTTGGCTCCGAGCCTGGTTGAAGAGCTCTCCCCTCCACGGCGCTGGCCACCATCTCTGCCCACACCTCCCTCGGCTGCAAGCAGCCACTTTTCTGGGAACTGGGAGCCAAGGCTGGGAAGGCACGGGCTTAGGAAAAACCATTCCGTGCTTCAGCAAGACTCATTTGTACGTCTTTCCCCTTGGCCGGGGGCCCATGACACTGCATTAGGAAGTAAACTTGTGTGCCAAGCCGCTGACCGCCCCAGGAGGACATGGACACCCTCAGCTGAGTTTCCTGCACTCTTCATAGGGTTGGCCTTGGGTCGGGGGAAGTTCCCATCCCCGAGGGGCCCTGGGCTCTCCCTCAAGTTCCCCCCTCAGGAGCAGCAGCAATGGTAGGAGTCACATGAGGCACAGCAGAGCAAGCCGACTTTCATTCATTCATTCTCTGGGGTCCCAGACTTGCTCTCCATTCAGCATGGAAATTTTTATTACCCAGCTAGTTGCTTGGAGTCCTCCTTTGTGATTTAACTGGAGGGGAAAGTGGTGGGCGAGGCTCACCGCCCACTCCAGGAATCTGCTCCCAAGAGACCAACCCACAAACCAACCCTGAGTCGCTGGTTAGATTCTTTCTTATTTAAAATTTGGATTATTTTATTCATCATGGATTTTTGGTGTTAATGTTTATTTTATAAAAAATTACACTAAAATATTATCTCTCTTGATTCACTGAGGTTTTAGGCGCCCCTTGCACTTTGCACTCAGTGTGAGCCCCTGACACACCTGCCCCGGCCCCCGCTAAGCCAGCCCTGGAAGGTTAACCAGCAGGGCCCAGAAACGTGTTTTCCGTAGCTTCACAGGCCAGCGAACAGGTCTCAGCGTCCACACTGCAACTTTGGACAGCCTGCCTTCGGGAAGGTTCTTAACTTCTCGGAGCCTTAGTCTTCCCAGCCATACAATGAAACCATAACAATAGCGCCTTCCACAGAGAGTAGCCGTGAAGGTTAAAAACACTGACCCATGAGATGAACACTGTGCCCGGTCTGTGAAGCCCAGAAATAGCCACTAGGAATGATACGAGGCCCACATTTCCAGAACCAGCCTCTGTCAGATCTCCCTGTTCATTATTTATGGGGTCCCCAGAACCGAATCCTCCAAATACATACACTGACTCGGAAATCCCTGAGTCTGGGATAGAAGCAGTGGGGACCTCTGATGGTCATTGCTGACCCTTGGAATGCAATTGTCATCAGTTAGAAACTCAGAGACCTGCTGGGGAGGGTGAGGGGCCTGGCGGGGGAGGGGGTGCATAGTGAGTTGTGCCTGGCCAATGCATGCCCTGCTGGCTGAGATACCTCGGGTAACAGCAAGTCACCGAAGGTCTCTTTCGAGAGGAATGTTCTCCGCTCTCCCCTTGCCTTCTTTTGCCACCCCCAACTGCTCAAACTGGAAGTGGGGCTGATTTGCTCAAGTCAAATGAGCAGAAATGTGGGGGTCCCTGGCCCCACCCCCAGACATTCATTCTGCTGGTTCACAGCACAGAACCAATTTAGGAGGCCAGTGTGATGTTATCTCACCCCAGGGTGTTAAAGACCCCTGCTGGCGGGGACAGCTGCGAGGCCACTGCTGTTTGCCCCCAATCTGTTATTGCTACCGTGCTTGTCTTTAATTTATGGGGATGAGGGATTTCTCGGTGATTTTCCGACGGGGTTCAAGGGAAGGTCGCCCGTGATCAGGTGAATCTGATCGCCCACCGGGGAGAGCCCCTGTGCTTGGGCTCCGCATCGCCGGCTGGGCTCTCACGTACTCACTCACCAGACTGGCTTTGTCCTTCCTCCCTCGGCTTCAACACGCCTGCCGTCCCGGGCTCGGCCCCCCACGTTTCTCCCCTGCAAGCCCTGATCTCTGCCTGCCCCTGCCCAACCACGGGAACGCTCATTTCGCCTGAGGTTAAAACCCTCCACACACCGGCCCCTTCTGCCCCTTTTCCCACCTGCTCCCCTTCCCCGGCCACCGCCTCACCTCCACCGCCCCGGCCTCGCCACAAGCCGCACCAGAGTGTACTTGCCAGGCAAACACACTCAGCCTTCTCTCCCTGCGCCCAGTTTGCGGAGTGGCTTTCCCTCCCCCCGCTCTTCTGCCGATTACCGTCCTACTTATTTTAGCACCCAGCTTGAAAACCACCGCCTCTGAGGATTCTGTCTTTTTTTGTTAGAATTGATGACTCCACTTGCATATAGCATCATTTCAGTGAAAGCTTTGGTGAAGAAGTTTCAAATTGTGGAATCCACTAGAACCCACGCTGATTTTTCTGAAAATGGTTTAGGACCACAAAGGAGCTCTCCTGAGATGCTTATCATGGGACATCTTGTATTTGAAGTCTCCTTTTTCTTTCTTTTTTTTTTATTGTTATTTACTTATCTTTAGAAGGGAAGGGAAGGAGAGAGGGAGAGAAATATCTCATGTGTCTCCTGATGGAAACTGCCCTGCAACCCAGGCATGTGCCCTGACTGGGAATCGAACCGCGATCCTTTGATTCTCAGGCCTGCACTCAATCCACTGAGCTACACCAGCCAGGGCTCCTTTTTCTTTTTATTGTGGTCAAAAACACATCACGTAAAATCTGTCATTGCAAACATTTTCAAGGGTGCAGTACAGCAGTGCCAACTGTATGCACCTTGTTGTACAAACGCTCTCCAGAACGTTCTCATCTTGTAAAACGGAAATTGTACCCATGGAATAACAACGTCCTGTTCCCTTGCCCAGGGCCTGGCAACCAGCATTCTACTTTCTGTTTCTAAGAGTTTGACTACATTGGATACCTCCTGTAAGTGGAGTCATGCAGAATATGTCTTTTCAGGACTGGCTTCTTTTACTTAGCCTAATGTCCTCGGGGTGCATTTATGTCGTAGCATCATAACAGAATTTCCTTCCTTTTTAAGGTGGAATAATATTTCACGGTGTGTATACCGCATTATCTTTATCCCTCTCTTCATCTGCTGGTGGAAGGACACTGTGTCCCCGCTGCCTCTGGGCCATTACGAATAGTTCTGCAATAGGCTTGGTGTACAAGTGTGTCTTCAAGATCCTACTTTTGAATTTTCTTGTATATTTACCTAGAAGTGGGATTGCTGGATCGCTTGGTTCTATTTTCAATTTTTTGCTGAACCCCCATACTCTTTTCCATAGCCACTGTGCCAGGTGGCAATTCT